GTGTCATCTGAGCCTTTAGCATTGCTGACCTGATGTCTCCTGGTGATTCTGGGCAGCCTTAAGGCTAGCAGTGCAGGAAAGAACACCAGTGCCAGAAATGCTAATGGGGGTGTCAGCTAGTTCTAAAGTCCTGCTTTTCCTTGAGTGTCCTTCCTTCAACTCTGGCTCCAACGCATTTTGCCACAGAAATTTTTCATTCAATTCAAACTTGTCACCCCTGCATCAATGTCCATGCCCGGAGCAGTAAAACAAAGCTCTAACTAGAGAAAGGTACTATAACCCTATTCTAAGCCCTTTTACTTACAACAGATCATGCTGTACCAGACACCTGACTGGCATTTCTTGGGGATTGAACATCCATCTCGTGTAGTCAGCTAGTTGGGGACATACATTAGATTTTATACATGAAAGAAACAAGATCTTAGGGGAAAGAACCACACCAGAGTGGACACTGAGCAGACCAGCCTCTCACTTGAAAACCAGCTGTGGAAACGTTGAGTGAGAAGAAAATTCCTGACCTCCTGCCTGTGTAAAGTTTACCTGCTCATGCTTAAGGAGTATGGCTAAGAACTTACAGCTGTCCAGATCTTTCTCCTGCTTTTATTATAGTTGCTTTTTTTTTTTAATTCCTTATTTTGTTTCTCTACATGCTTTTGGGCATTTGGGATGCTTCCATAGCTTATCTGTTGTAAATTGTGTTTTAAACATAGGGGTGCAGGCGTCCTTTTGAATTAGTTTTTGTGTTCATTGGATAGTAGCTAGTAGTGAAATTGCTGGATCATATGGAAGTTCTATTTTTAGAAGCTTAAAAATCCTCCACACAGCTTTCCATAGTGGTTGGAGCAGTTTGCATTCCCACCAGCAATGTAGGAGATCTGGACAGGAGTGGGAAGAATAACAGGATCTGTGGTGATAGTGCACAGGTGAATTGGTCATGGAAATTTCATGAGGGAATCATATATTGTACAAAAAAACGAAGGCTAATGTAATGAATATATTTTAAAAAATTAAAACAATTTAAAAACCTTACAGCTGCACTAGATGCTTGGATTTTCTTTTACTTGTAATTAGGGAATCATTGCTTTTTAATTTGGGAGGAGTGAGGAAAAGGCATTTGGAAAGGAAGTGCTGAAAGAGGAGGGTCATTCCCTTAAATGCAGGGAGTGGTGAAATGAGATGCAGTAATCTGGGTGTGAATCTGGCAGTCAGAGAAGAGGCTAGATGTGAGGAAATGACCTGGAGGAGAGAGGAGACCTGGTGACAGGAGAGGGGCTGCTCTGGGCACAGAAAGAAGAGTAGGGCGGTGTGGTAAGGAAGGCAGGGCAGGGGAGGGCACTGCAGATTTCTGGGTTATGTCTGGACAGTTGTGAGAAGGTGACACTCACTTTGGTAATAACATTATGACATGACACAAAGGGTGAGCGGATGGAGAAAGGGGCCTGCTGTGGGAGAAACTGTTTTGGCCACTGCCGGTCACTACTTTTCTTGCCACCGATGATTAGTTTCAATCATCGAAACCTGGCCAAACATCAATACAAGGAGGTGTTTCCTGTCAAATCAACACTCTTGGCAGTGACAGTGCAAGCCCTGGTATTGTGGGGCTTATTTCTCTTTGGGGCACACAGATAACAAGGGCTGCAGTTACTGCTTCTGAGCCCTTGAGACTAGCCCTGCTCAGTCTGCCTGCACATATTTAGAAAATAGTAAATGAGAGCAATAAAAGAAAAACATTGTCAGGCTTTATTAGATGGAGTAAAATTAAAATTTCAGTAGTTCTTTCTTAGGTGTGTTAAAATTTATGTCTTTCCAGTTCTCACATTACAGCAATTATTACTGTAATTAGTTGTTCAGAGTCATATGTCCAATAGGTAAAAATTATGCCAACAATAGAAGACAATTCTAGGCTTTATTTTCTTTTGTATTCTATCTTACATGTAATTCCTTGGAGAGTACAAATATTTGTTTTGAATGCTCCCACTATGGTAAAACATTTGATGGATTTAATCATGCCAAATTAAAAAAAAAATCAATAAAATCAATAAATTACCTAAATTTAAGTTGGATCATAGCACCTAAAGGGATGTACTTTTCGACTCCGCATAATCAACACCAGACCACCACTCTCATAAGGAAATAATAAGAAGAGAAAATGGTAAATAAAATTAAAACTTCATTCTACTTTATTATTTTAGTTTAACCCTAAGGTGGAAAGAATAACTTTATATTAAACTCAGGCAATCAATATTCAACCATTTTTTTAAAATTTTCTTTAAGAAGGCATAACTGGCCTTGCTTTTATTACTATCAATGTTTTCATTACTATAGAGAGGTTGCATTGATTCATAATAGAAACTACTGTAGCCTAGATAATGTTCTGTACTCAATATTTTTATTATAACAAGGGGACCTCTGATAATTTGCTGTTAATGAAGAACTGCCATATTAAAACATTTTGTATATACAGTTTTCTACTATTTCTTGGTACATTTTCAAAACAAATTATTTCACATTAAATATAGGTCACATGGCCTGTTATGTATAATTTTTATGTATTCAGTTGCCTAAAATTATAGTTCACTGTAATTTAAAGTTTAACAAAAGCCCCGGTCACCTAATGGATAAGGCATTGACCTCCTAAAGTTTAACAAACTTGGTTTATTTGCCCAGTAAGTTAAAAATAAAATCATTTGCAAACTCAATTTAGCTTTGTCTTGATATTTATTTTTACTTTTGAAAATGTATATTGCTTTTGTATATAATGATGCACAGACCACTCATTTAATATATTTGAAAGATGAAAATATTCACCTTTCAATTTTACTTTCTGCAATTTCCCCAAAGGATGAGAGTTCTCTGTTCCAAGAGGTAGAGAAAAGAGTAGATTTTTCTCAAGTTTTCACTGAAACATTTAAACGTGCCATTTTTCTAAAGTGTTCAACATTTAGCTACTGAATATATCCTTTGCAAGCATGTGTTTATTTAGTATACTGCTACTTAGTAAGTTTGAATACAACTTCATTCAATTATGATTTTTTTTTAAATTTTCAGAGTTGATTTTATATCTCTATCATATTAAAGTGTGTCTTCATAGTGCTGATACAGGTAATTACATTACATTGCTGGCTATTTGAATTAAAGATACAGAAAATAATTGTGCCACAGAAATCTTGAAAAACTGCCTTGAAAATAATAGCACATTGCTAGACGTATATACTAAGTTCCCCTTTTCTTTTTGGCTCATGAAGAGTGAAGAGCAGTCATGACACTTCATATTACCCTAATACTTATTTCCTTGATTTTACAAAGAGAAAAAAATTGCAAGTTGTACTCTTGCCTAGTCTATTATGAGCTTACACTGTATTTTGATACTAAATTGCACCATGTTTCTATTTCTCAATTAGTAAGAATCTAAAGGAAGAATATGGATATGTAAAGAAAGGCTGACCCATCAATTTTCCAATGTAGGTTGAAACATACAGTTAACTATTATGTTAATATTCATTAATAATGCAAAGTTTTAACATTTTTTTGTTCTTTTTGGAAGAATACATTTGGTACCATTAGCTAGAGAATTTGTTTATCTTCAAGTCAAGCCTACCCATGTTTTTATGATTAATGATGCCATTTGTAGAATATTGGAAAAGGTTATCATAATAGGGCAATGGTGTTAGCTGGAGAATGGAGTTGATAATGAATTTTATATTGTGTCTTGACAGCTGGGCAGAGAGGTTTCAGCTTCAGCAAGAAAAAATGCGAGCCCTGAGATTTCTGAATAATTGTAGCCAGTGTCAAAAATATGGAATATCCCCAACATTTTGGGGTCATGAGTACAGAATTTTGAAGGACTGAGTCAAACAAAGTCAAAGTGGAAGACAGGATACAGAAGGCAAAGTTGAAGAGAGTCATGAGAAAGCCATGTGGTGACAGTTAAGGGACATTAGTTATAAGGCCCAGAGTCCAGAGGTTTATGAATAGGCATAAAAAAACTTTCCATTTTATGTTCAACATCACTTGAAATAAGGGAGATGCAAATTAAAACCACAGTGAGATACCACCTCACCCCAGTGAGAATGGCACATCTTCAAACAACTAGCAACAACAAATGTTGGCGAAGATGTGGAGAAAAAGGAACTCTCCTGCACTGCTGGTGGGAATGCAAACTAGTACAACCACTATGGAAAACTGTTTGGAGGTTCCTCAAACTGCTAAACATGGAGCTTTCCTATGACCCAGCAATCCCACGCCTAGGTATCTACCCAAAAGATACAAAAACATTGATTGAAAAAGATACCTGCACTCCCATGTTTATTGCTGCTTTATTTACAATTGGAAAGACATGGAAGCAGCCCAAATGCCCAAAATTAGATGACTGGATTAAAAAGATGTGGTACATATATACAATGGAATATGATTCAGCAACCAAAAAAGAGAAACACATGTCTTTTGCAGCAACTTGGATGGAGCTGGAAAAGATCATGTTTAGTGAGATAAGCCAGAAAGAGAAAGAAAAATACTGGATGGTTTCACTCATAACAGGAGTATAATGGACCAGGCAAGAAAATAACAAGAATAATGAACAGCCATATACTAAAGACATTTTGTGGGGGTGGAGTGGAGAATGGGATCAAAAACGGGGGAGTGGGGAGGGAAGTGCACAAGATTATGTTGACAGCTCACGGGTGACTTGGTGATGGGAAACCCACGGGGATTAGATGGGAAAAAAAAAGTACAAAGTGATGTAAAAATAAACTATTATAAAATAAAAATAATAATAAAATAAAATTTAAAAAAAACTTTCCATTTTAATTAATGGAGTGGTCCTTTGGGCTGGTTAAATGGTTATTGCTCACTGCTCTAGAACCCAATACTCATAATGTTTAAGCATCTCATTTAAATCAATGTTTTACAGAGCACATTTTATGGGAAGCAATGCAACAGAACAAAGAACAAAATCATTGAATTGTTTTATCCTGAGAAACAAGAATGCAAAATGTACTCACGTTCCACAAAGTAAGAGCTGGCATCAATCTTCCATATTATCTGGCCTCGATGAGAACCATTGACTCCACGGTTCTTATAGTCCAAAAAGTTTTCTGACAAGACTTCATCTATATTCCCAGTAAAGAAAGTGGAGTAGAGAGATATATCAGCCAACAGCATATTCAAGAGGAAAAATAAAAGAACAAGTAACATCAATTGTACTGCCAAGTCAACAGAAAAATGATCAAGTATCATACAAATATCCTCAGCTACTATTTGGACCAGCTCCCTTTTATTTATTTAATATTTAATTTTTTTTATTCTTTAAAAATTTATTTATCTATACATACAAGAACTGGGGTGGTGTAGGCCATAGCATGAGGGTTGTCTCTGAGAGAGACAGAGTGAGGAGCAGAATGGGCAGATTGACTGCAATACACTACAGATGGGAGAAGCAGGCGAATCAGGAGAGGTCCGCTACACCATGTGGGTCACCTCCCTGGTCAGGGAGCATGAGCTACAGTGACTGAGGACAGCTACATAGTGCTCAGATTTAACCCCTTGCACCATCAGGGAGGCTACTTAACCCATGACCCAATTGCAAAGACATGCTACATATCTCTTACAACACTACCCCATTCCCCAGTGCAACCACTGGTGTTAGCTTTTCTGATGACCATAGAAAAATAAACACAGGCTTCAATGGCTGCAGATAGCTTCATAATGCTGACTTTAACCCCTGTGCCACCAGGGAGGCTCTGAGGACCAACCCCCTTTTAATGCAGGAATCTCCTCCCTACTCCATAAAAGTGTCTGATAAGTGGTCATCTAGCTGGTTCTAGAGCACTTCCAAAAAAACAATATATTCGATTACACTTTCAATTTGGGGGTCAGTCATAATGGAGCATACCCTATATCGTCTCCTCATTCTAGACAACTATCATTATTCTATATGGGACTCCTCCATGAATTTATCCATCTTATGTTCATTTGCATTTATTTGTTCATTTAATAGAAACTTATCTATATCCAACCTTCTGTCATCCAGGGGCCACAATGTGAGCAAAACCCATGGGCCTTTATGAATTAAAGCTTACCAACAGCTGAGAAGGCAGACTTTAACCATGAAGAAACAGATTATGATTAAAACTGATGATAAGTGATATGAAGGGAAAGAACAGGACACTTGGACAAGAAGTAACAAGGAAGGAGACCAACAGGGGATCATGGGAACAAGTGAGTCAGGGAGAGGAAGTCTCAAGAGTGGAGATTAGGAGTGGCTGTTGGGGGCAGAGGAAGTCCTCAAAGTGAGGGACCAGGAGATCTAGTGGGGGGGGGGGTTATGCAGTTTCCCTCTTTTGCTCTTCCACTGATCATCACATTGCAATCTGTCTTCAAGCAGAAGACAGGAGAAGAAGGCGGCGTTTTTTTAACAGGACTTAATAAGCCACCCAGATTTGTGGTTTTTAGCACAGACTAAGATAGAGATCTGAAGTTTAACTTGATCAGAATTCTGATCAAGCACTTCCAGTTTCTGTTTCACTGGAAAGTAACCATTTGCATTAGATGGACCTCAATATGCAGGAAAATCATGATTGGAGAGTCAGACCATCACAGTGGCTGCAGTTCAAAACAGAACTCAGAGTCTCCAGAGGGTAGACCCAGAGGAGATCATGACCACTCTTTTCATTCTTAAGATAGCCTGAGGTTCACTCCCTGCATCTGACTGTACTGGGAATAAAGAGGTGATAAGTTGTAAAGAGGTTAGGACTCAGTTCTCCCATCTGTTTGTATCATTTGCCAATAGTTTTGTTTCTAGAGTTTTAGTATTAAATCCTGCTCTGCAAAGTTGGGTGTAGAAACAACTAAGACCTTACAGAAAAGGATTATGACCTGCTATGTCACTGGATATTTTTAGTTGCCTCTTCTTTGGCTAAAATAATCAAGTAAAACAATACTATCTTTGCCTCATTAGCAGCAGGAATTGTTTATATCCCTTGATAAATCACTTGTTGGTAAATTTTGATACTCTTTATATTCCCAGTATATTCTCACAGTCTGTTTGGGTTACTGAGATTATTGCATAATACATCTTTAACAATAATTGCCTCATTTCTGCAAAAAAGACATAATATCTTCTTAACTTCCTGGGTCTTCATTACAAATAAAACAAGTTGCACACACATAGAAATTTGTCTCATTATTGCAACTCTCCACGGAGTGATATTAACCTGATCTCCGAGAAGTGAAATTTACCACTCTGATCACCAGAATATTAACTGTAAAGTCATAATCAAGTGTCCATATACAGTAATACCTAGGAAGGGGAGGTCTATTCACCCTTTAGGTAAATGCTTATTGAATATGTCCTCCACTCATATTTTGCTAAACCTTGGGGATAAAAATATGATGTATATTCTCAGGCAGTTTCTAATAGAGCTGGGATCCTTTTAAGTCACTAGTATAGTAATGAGTTAAATATTAAGGAACAACAGATGTATAAAGATAGAGATGAATAGGTAGGAAGACTAATACATATAAGAATCACAAAGTAATACACCTTTTAAAGGCATCAAGATACATTATGTTGTACATGTTTAAACACACTGTTTTAGAAAAAGAACATATTTAAGAGATACTAGTTGGTCTTTTTAAGTATCCCATTCCCTTATGAACCCCGAGCCTGCAGCACAAGCCATGGGACAAGACCTGGTCTTTCCCACAGCTGCCTGAGCAGCACTGGTAGTTTCCTGCTTGCCTCCCCAGTTGCAGCACCACCCCCTGCTTTCCTCTTTCTCCCTTCTACTCCCCTCTCCCTTAACAACAAAACCCAGGTTTGAGCTCTATACCCTGAAATCTCCCTAGGCAAGTCTAGCTGCCCTGCAGTGGGAGGCTGCAGGATGGCTACACAGAGGCCCGTATCAGTGGTCCAGCCTGGATTGACAGCCTGGTGCTAGCTAAGTTTGAGTGCCAAAGTAACCACCCCTCCCCTCTCAGGGCTCCAGACCGGGCCTGACAAACCTGTAGGAAGCACTGGTGGAAAACAGGTGGTGGACAATTTACTGTCCACCAGTGGCCCCACTGGGGCTTAGTCTGCAGACAGAGGCCAGCAGTGATGCTGAAGGTTTTGCAGGTGCAGAGTGTCTCTGGCCCCACTGAGGCTAATTCTAGCTATGATTCTTTGTATCTCTCTGTGGTCAGAGAGATACAGGCATCAAGTTTTCCTTTTTATATTTGGTGCCTAGTTCATAGAATTGGACTGATCAAGTGTGAACTAAATGAATCAATTGGTTTCAAACAGCTCATTAGTTAATTATTTAGATCCAAAATCAAGAATGTGCTAATGGTCCAAATGGTCTCATCGGTCACTTAGTAATGAAAATGTGCCAATAAGTTAGTGGTGTGGAGGACCCTGAAAGAGAACATAAGGCAGGAAAGGCGACAGCTTACAAGGATCCTGTTCCTGGCTTCCAGAGAGAGAAGAGAAGCCAAAGAACTTTGCAGAGACCTGGTTGCTGCACCTGCCTCTGGCCCTGAAATTACCTGAAAGGCAAGACACTGGCAGCTACCAATAGCGATTACATGAAATTAGACCACTATTTTAATTCTTCTTTGCCTTTAACTCCTCACTTTGAAATGGAGCTATTATTAATGACAATAGTAAATGTCATAATTTGTTGTAAGGATTAAATAGACTAATACAGGTGATCTTAGAACAATGTTAGGATCTAATAAGCTGTTATTTCTGTTAAAATAACAGGACCCTCAATTGCAAAGCTCCCTGTTACTCACATTGCAACACCATTAAAAGCCTGTAACATCAGAAATAAAGTAACACACCTTTTAAAGGCATCAAGATACATTATGTTGTACATGTTTACTTTTTTCTTGCTTATGCATTAGAATAATAAACATTGTTAAAATGGTTATCTTATTCCAAAATGATATACAGATTTGATGCAAACACAGCAAAATTTCAAGAAAATTATTATCAAAATTTATATGGAACACAAAGGACCCCAATTAGCCAAAACAACTCTGACAGAAAAGATTGGGATATCCTACATTCAGACTTCAAATTATTCTACAAAGCTATAGCAATCAAAACAATACTGTATTGGGATAAGAACACACAAACAAATCAATGGGATAGAATTAAAAATGCATAAATAAATGCAAACTTAAATGGATACAACAAGGGAGACAAGTGTATGCAATAGAGAAAAGAAATTGTCTTCAAATGGTGTTGAGGAAACTGTATAGTCATAGCATAGCAAAGGAATGATAATAGACCACTATCTCACACAATACACAAAAATTCACTCAAAATTAATTAAAGAAAGGAAATTCTGCAATATTGGATTCAGTAAAGTTTTTGGGTACTCCAATAGCAAGGCAAACAAAAGCAAAAAAAAAAAAAAGACAGAACTATAACTAACTGAAGTGTTTCTACATAGCAAGAAAAAGATTGTTAATTTAAAAATACACCCTATCAAATGGAAAACCCTTTTGAACAGTGTACAAGATATAAAAAATAGCATACAAATAACTCAACAAAAATAAAACAACCCAATCATAAATAAACACTTCTTCAATGAAGACATACAAATGGCCAATAGGCAAATAAAAAGTACATACATTTGTCATCAGGGAAATTTGTGATTCAAAACCACAATGAAGAGACCTGTGGGATAGTACAGATAGTATAGAGAAAAAGATGCCTGGGTCACCTCCTCCCGGTATTCACAATTAAGAAAAACAAAGCCAAAAAGAATTCTGAGGGACAACTGTATGACAATACAGCACACACAGGAAGTAGTGAAAGAGGACATAAAAACACACAAACATTGAGTGAACATTGCTTATAGTCATAACTGTGCAGTACAACTCACAAACGTAGCCTGTTGTACAGAGCCCCCTAAAGCTATTGACTTGGCCATAACCCAACATTGGGGACTTCAGAATCTCAGCATCACACTGAATATGGGGCTGTGGACATTGGCAAAAAGTCTGGAGGAAACACTGTAGGAGATCTGAAGTGATAGTAAATTTCAGAATGATTGCTGGCTTGAGCCTGAAACTCTCAATATTACTGGTTTGAGCCTGAATTATCAGGGAGAAGCAAAAA